TAAATGCCACATTCTACTTAGCAGAATGATAATGCGCTATCTGTATAAAGGATATAAAGCTGGCATAGCTTGCTCAGCTCAGTGAATGGAAGGATCTAGCTGTAGAACCAAGAGTCAGCATTTTTAATCTCCACTGCATCTCCTGTATGACATACGAGTTGAGTTGGGACACTCTGGAGTGTGTGTGGCCTTTGTAACAGTGGGCAAAGTTCCACAATCTCAGAGCACCACCAGGAGAGACTGGTGAACCACTCCTAAGTACTTATACTTAGAAAACGTGGAGAGGATCACCATAATTTAAAATCAATTTGACAGCACATTAGTATTGTAAGAGTTCTGAAGGTCCCAAGCCTCCCATGGAATGCCTTTCATCTCTGGGAAGCCATGGGAGACATGGGACAGAAGGAGGAAGCCTTTAATTACCCCAGAATTGGAAATTAATACAATCTGTTCCAGGGCCCATTACAGCTTCTCAACAATAAAAGTGATTACATGGGAATGTTGGGAAATTTGGGAGAGTGGATCAGAAATGTTTAGTTTCTGAACAATCACTACCACTGCTAATGTCATCAACCTTATGCAACATAAGTTACAGCAACAGGATTTCAACCACTGATTTTTAGAAGCATTGTTTGTTACAGATCTGACTTTCTATTGGTAGAGTAAGCAAACTGGTGCCTGGTCTCCAGTATCTCATATGCCAGTGGCTCTTTACTATTTTGCTTCCATCCTTGTTCACTGATTGTGCCTTTCAGCTGAGATATCTGCTGACTATAATGTCTATCTCACAGCCCAGGGTTCAATCCCAGGTAGCCGGCTCAAGGTTGACTCAGCCTTCTATCCTTCCAAGGTCAGTAAAATGAGGACCCAGCTCGCGGGGTGGGGAGCAATCTGTAGCCTGCATAATTACCTTTCAAACCTCCCAGAGAGTGCTTGAAGCGCTATGGGGCGGTGCAGTATATAAGCAGCACACTTTGTTTTTTGCTTTGCTTTAGGAAGCCAAACTTGATTGGAAAGTGATATATAAATATGCAAAACACACATCCCTATAACTCAAATATACAATATACAAGAATCTTGTTGTATGCTTCAGTTGCACATAACAATACAAAACAAGATGTGGTGTTGCCCAGTACATGATATGGAGGCTACAGCCTAGATATTTAACCCACCCGGAGGAAGTGGGATATTTCTAGCTGGGGAGATTACTTGATGCATTTGCTGCCAGAGAAAAGCATCTCTCCTCCCAGGACTGTTGCTTTCAAAATGATTCGCCTTAACAGCAGGGATTCTCATGGGAACTGGATTTGAAAAGGGATGACTAGGAGAAAATTCATCATAGCTTTGCCCATAAAAATAGACACCTTATTGAAAGAACTTACTGTTGATTTTGCCAGGTATTAATCCATGAAAGCTCAGAATGTCCAGACACTTAAACATAGGTAATGCATGTGTGTGTGTGTGTGTGTGTGTGCGCACACACACACATGCGCACACATGCATGCACACACACACACAGTCTTGACAGAAACCTACTTGAAATGAAAGCTAATGTGAGAAGTTACCAGTTGGATCAAAATGTGTGCGCGCATGCATGTGTGCGTGCACGCGCACACACATGTACACACATGCACACACATGCATGTACACACATACACAGTCTTGACGGAAACCTACTTGAAATGAAACCTAATGTGAGAAGTTACCAGTTGGATCAAAGTGGTTGAGCAAGCCACAATTCTGGGCAGCTAACTGTTAATAGAGGATATATGGAAAGGACTCTCACCCCCCCATCCCCAGTACCTTATGTGGAACTTGGCCCAGGGAAAAGAACATGATAAAGGAACTAGTCAGGGTTGACAGCCTGCCCAGAACTTTGGCTTTATGTAACCATGCCTTGGTGTCAAGACTAGAGTCTGTAAAGCAGATTTTGGAAACATGCCTTTGGTGAGTTTGGGAAGATGCAATTCAAAAATATAATATTTTGAAGTTCTAATCCGTAGCTCAGGGCTCAGGAACCTGTGACTCTCTAAAATATTGGACTCCTTTCTATCAGTCCTAACCAGCATGGGCAATAATCAAGGATTATGACATTTGTAGTTCAAAACTTCTGAAGGCTGCTGCAAGAGGTTGTCCACCCCTGCAAGAGGTGCTTCAGAATTACATGTAACCACAAAATAACAATAGTAAAAAACATGCGGGGATGCTGCCTCCAGAAGTGAGTAAGGGGCATTTGTGGATGAATGAAACACCCCATCTACCACTCGATAGCAGAACTTGTAGACACCTGCTTCTCGGTGTTAGATGTAGCCAGACACAATTGTTTTGTGAAATGTCTATTTGAAGTTAGCTCAGTGGCTAACTGATTTCCTGTAAGAAATGGGAAAAACTGTGACAGCTGTACCAACTGTTGGGCACTGATTGAATTGCAGCACCGATAGAAATTCCACATCACACCATACAAGTAATAAAATGTATTTCCTAATAGGCAGTGGGTAAAATGTCTTTCTTGAACACTGTGGTCGCCTCTGGCGACCTGCAGCTTGATATCTGAATAAGATGCCTGCTCTGTTGTGTCGTCGTTTGCAGTTATGGAGACAAGATGTTTTCCTCCACAGAGGCAACTCTAAAACAGCTGGCAGGAGTCAAGGAATGCAAATATAAGTCTCAGTTGACAAAGTACAAAAAGAATGTTCACAAGCGTTCTTGGAAATCTTCCTCTTAAATAAATATATAGGGTGAGGACAATGATTTGACATTAGAGGGTAGAAAGGGGATGAAAGCAAACTTTTCTGTATCTGATAGATTTCATTAGGGAATATAAATGGCAAGGCTCTTAATAAATTCTTGAAAATTAATTAGAGCTATGTGCAGCTGGAGCTGTTTTCTCTTTGTAGTCCAGATAGCAACTTCGAGGGTGTCCAGAGAATTGAGACTCTGTCTTTGAGTAGTTTCAGGCTATTTTAAATCTGGCACGACAAATAAACCCTGGCATTTCACTTTTGCCATATAATCCAAAATAGAATTAATGCTCCCAAAGGCGTTGTATTCGTAGGAGCCTGGAATCCCCTTGTGGGGTTTCCAAGCCACAGATCTTGGCATTGCTTTCTGAATGCTGATCCAACTCTCCCCATCTATACATTTAGAACCATATGATGATTGCTAGAAGCATTCAGCATCTGTGAAGAACACAACCAGTTTGGTGCACATACTGTATACCTAGATCCCACTATGCGATGCTCCTTTGCTCTTGTGCATAACTAACTTTGCCCATGTGGCTCCAGCCATGCCATGAACACCCATGTCCAGTTTCCAAAGACTCCGCATTTCATGCAGGGCTTATAGGAGAACTTTGCATCCTGGGGTGTGTGTGTGGAATCTAGGACAGCAGTAAGCAAGATGTCTCTTCATGAACATGCATGCACGTAGATGTGGCAGCTATGTCTTGGCTTTGAGCATGACATTTGTTCCTTTTCCAGCCTCAGGACTGCCAGAGTCCACTCTCTTCACGCTGGTTGTTCAGACGTGCCCAGGAAACAGGCTTCTCATTGACAGCCTAACCGATTAAAAGGCTCTTGGTGCACTCCTCTGACCAATCAGTCTAATTTAAATGTCCACAGCCACTTTGGCTATGACCACAGTGGTTTTCTTTTAAAATTGGGATGGGCAGAGGGTAAATCACAGGCAATCCCCCAGGGCTCTGAATGCTGTCCCTCAGAACCTCTGAGGAAGCCCACCCCCCCATAGAACCCCCCGCCCCAATTTTAAAAAATCCAGAAGTTCCTAAGTGCATCCTAGGAGGTGTGGAAAACACTTTTGCCATGTTTTGTGTCCCTCGCATCCTCACCCGACCCACACCACCCAGAATCTTTTTTTTAAGAGAAGACTTAGCCATCAGAGAGAGCTGAGGGGAGAATTTCCCATTTTAAAAAGAACATTTTTTAAAACGAAAATATTTTAGGTGAATGGATACAGACCTCCAAGGTGTAGGTGTGGGTGCATTTAGCTCTCAGACCACTGGACATGGCTTCTGCATGAAAAGAAGAATGATCCTTTGGGCCTTGTTGGCTGAGTAAAGTTCTGGGATGAAGTTACTGCCCCTGCTGCCCCATCTGGCAAGGGTGGGGGCTACCGGTATGGAAAAAATGGCCTGGGTGCCATGTTTACCTAATTCTGCTCTAAACCAACTGTGCCGCTGGTACAGAAAATCCACAACCACTATACCTGTAACCAGCCTCTGCCGAGAGAAAAAAAAATCTCTGAAAAGCTCATACCAACAAAATTCCTTTCCCTGCCTCCCCAATGTCCAGAACTACTTCCAGCAGTAAATATTCCTTTGCAGTGAAAAACAACTTTTATTCTGTAGGGAATATGAGCCTGTGAAAACATTTTATTCTTTTTTGAGCTGTGCCTTGTATCCACAAGACTGAGGAAAGTAATAGGCTTCACTCTCATAATCTAATCGTCCTTTACGTGCAGGATTTTTTTTTTTTTTACAAATCAGGGAGGGGCTAGGTTAGAACAATGCACTGTTGCTAGTCTTTTTGCCTGTGTTCTCATATTAACAGTTATTTTAATGACAGCTAATTTAAAGACCCTTAATGCATGTTCAAAACTGAGAGAAGTCTTCTTGACTCTGCTTTTCTTGTTAACTCTGCTTAACAAGAAAAGCAGAGTAAAAAATGAAAATAAAACGGCAATTCCGCCTCTATTTACTTGGGTGGGCTAAGTAGTGATCCCCTCTGATAGTAAAAAATAAAATGGCAATTCCGCCTCTATTTACTTGGGTGGGGATCTGATTAAACTCTGTGGGTCTTGACTTTTGAGGAAAAGTATATATAAATATATAAATGGCAGAATTGCCATTTTATTTTTATTTTTTACTATCAGAGGGGATCACTGTATAAATATTTTAAATTGTTAAATAAATACATATTTTAAAAACACAACTCTTTCTAGTAAAATTGAATGACTGCGTTCAGCCATAACAGCTGGTCCAGGCTTTCGGCCCTTTTTCACAGGTACTTCCATGACGGTGAAATTCTTTCCTGGATGAGGTGGGCTGGCCTCATCTGTACAGGCCTTCAGGTAAGCAGTGGAAAAGTACTTCTGATAGTTTCCCACATGTTGTGATTTTGGTGTGCATTCATTTAAATTGCCTTTGAATGGCTTTATGGCTTCACTAGTTTTAAATTATTTTATACTGCTTGGTATAGTTATGGATCTGCTTAATGTTCATGACTCTGTTGTGGGTATGTGATTATTCCTTTGTTTTTTTTTTTTTAAATGTATTTTTGTTTTCCGGATGAATTCATATCATGGGATATTTACCGTAAAAGTGGGTGCGGGGAAGAGAGACAGTCTTCTCATAGTTCCTCTACCAGACTGTTTTAGGGAAACGAGACACAAGCTGTGCCTGATCCTCCAAAGCTGTTATTATTATTTTTACAGATGTAATGAAGACGTTTCCCTTTGCCCTACTCCACTGGCACTGATTGATTTCCATAATATTTCTCAAGATGCAGACATTTCTTTCCCAAACAAGTCATTTTGCTGGAGAACAGTTCAAGGACAGAGCTGTTATATATATTGTAGTTTCATGCTGCTTAGAAGAACTGGGAATTGGGGTGGAACGCCTTGTGCTTGTTAACAGTTTAGTCAGAAGAGGAAAGGGGATGCTGACATGACTTGCAGATATTTTCTCTCTTTTTCATTCAAAAATGCTTTTTTTTAACAGGGAAATTAAGAGTGAAAGCACAAATGTGAGCCATCCCTGATCTCTGAGAATTAATGGCTGTTCTGCATTTCAGGAGGAGGGGATTCCATTTTCCACCTGCCTTGTAACCAGAGATCCCTACTAAGGCACGTCTTGTTCTCCTCGATTCTTCTCTGCTCCTGGACATGCCAGGAATTCAGCTGCAGTTGTGAGCCAGCGTGGGTTAGATGTGAGAAATGGAAGAACTTTTGCAGCTGCTCCTGAGTCAGGGAACAAAATTTTAAGTGTATTAAGTGTGTTAGCTGAATCGAATATCTGAAGAACAAAAACAAAAGAAAGAAAGGAAAATCTCCCAAAGTGTGCTTTTCAAATGCTTGTTTGTGAACTAAAGGGGCTTGTTTGCAGATCAAAAATCGCAACCAGAAATGTCAAATTATGACAAAGCACTCTTCATTCTTGAGAATGGGAAAAGGGAGCAATTCTCCCTGCATTCTTGAGCCATATTTTGCCACACACGCTGACAAAATCAAAGGGGATTGTACTTGAGGATATGAGATCAAGTCAAGCGGGGGAGCTTCTCCCAGCTGACTGCTCTTGTACGTGGAACATAAACTCAGGCTGCCTGATGTTCTGAAATCTTTTCGGAATAGTTTGACATATCATTAAATGGATCCTAAACTTAATAAGAGTGTGTGAGAAAGAATGTTCTGCAGGCACTTGTGATTTGGAGGATAGAATACATCAGGGAAAATATTATTAGGTATTTCACAGGTGACTAAATGGTGGCAAAGTAGTTTGATCCATGTCAAAGGCTGTATTAAAGCCTATTTGGGAATATCAGTGGGGGCACCCTGTGTTATCCCATAATGCCATCTGGACAAAGACTGCCTTCTTAGGTATCCCCTGAAAACTCCAAGCCATGGCAAGGTTAAAAATCAATCCGTGACATTCAGTCATGTAGGTATCCCCAATAGGGTGGCCATGTGATCTTTTCACAATAGAATAATGTCTACTTGGATGGTTATTGGTAGCAATCTTCTTCCTGAGGATGTACTTCATCTGCAGAGCTGTCTGATCCAAATCTGATTTGAGATAAAGAACTATCATAAGGGAGAAGAGCAGTCATTGAACAATTGACTAAGTAGGCAGCTTTATAGGTCATCCAGTCACTGGCTTCCCCAGAAGGGTGATATTTATTGTGGTTTTATTGAAATGTTGCTAACCCTGACTATTTAATTACCAGAAATGGCTGCACCTTGGATGAGCTTGCCACCAGCAGCAATTTTGAATATTTAAAGATGGACAGAGAACAGAAATAGGTAAGTAGGTAAGTAAGTAGACAGACAGACAGACAGACAGATAGACAGACTGACTGACTGACTGACTGACTGACTAATTGATTGATTGATTGATTGGTTGGTTTGTTGATTGGTTGATTGGTTGATTGATTGGTTGATTTTGGAAGTGGCTCACTCCACAACCTGAACAGCTGCCTCTCTGCCATTTGGCACACCGAATCAGATAGTAATTTGGGTATCACATTTATATGAAGGAGAGTTCCATATATTTAGAAATCTGAATATCATCCCAGATCAGATCAGAGAGACCCCCAGGCTGTGTTTGATTGAATCAGCATAAAGTTCATGATAGTTAGCAAAAACAAGCAGCCAATGAAATGCAGTTAAAGATAACGTGGAACACATTGACAAATATAAGTAGCTTATATAGTTGAACAGTGAAATTGTAGCCATAGACTAGAGGCAGTAGCCCAGAGCAACTTCCATAAGATGAAAAATGTCATGTACATCAGCATTTTGCACCAGCTTTGACAATGTGCATAACACACTCCTGTGTATTGGTGCTACTGTGTAATATGGAATCATGAACGTTAACGTAGGCAATGATAGAAAAGATGCATCTAAAATGTGGATTTATTTTAGGACACTAAGAATTTATTGAATCAAGAGAATGACCGATGAAGAAGTACTAAGGCAAATGCAAAAGAGAGAGGAAAGTCTCAAAAAGACAAAAAAGAAGAACTTGGGTTATATATGAAAAAATGAAAAATATAGCTTATCATTCAATGTAAAATAAATGAGAAAAAGAGGAGGGAAGATAACATACTGGCTGTAGAAGCTTTGAGATTTGTTAGGTTGCAACACAACATCAGTGTGTAGAATAGCTGTACCTGAAGTCAAAACAGATGACATCTTCTGGTATAAGAAGAACAAGAAGAGGAAGAGGAGAGAGAAGCAGAAAGAATAAGAAAAGCAGACCAGAAAGTTTAGTATGCTACAGCATAGTATTTATTTATTTATATGCTGCTTTTTCCTAAAAAAGGATCCAAGGCAGCTTACAGTATTAAAAGCTGTTAGAAGCTAAAATAATACATTATTGCAATATTTTAAAAAGAATTAAATGCTGTAAATGTAATCTACTAAGCAAAAGCAGTAGTAAAAACACATTTGAATAACAACAATAACATTGCTAATGAACATGTAGGGGATGATGGGAGTTTTAGTGCAAGACATCTGGTGGGCAGAAAGGATACTATACCACCAAATATATCACAGCCCAACAAACTTCTCTCTGGAATCTGCCTGGGCCCATAGATCCCTCCCGTGCCCCATATCCTCCAAGATTTGACATATGCAGCTTATGATGATGCTTCTACCTTCAGCATCATCTTCACGTAGTCTGAGGATCACACACAGAATTCTAAATATCTATAAGAAGAGCCACCATACATTTCTAAGCTGCATCCAAAACCTATGCATGGCTTTGTTCAAATCTGAACCATCTCATGATGAATTCTTTTCACATTTCTATCTTCTTCCAAGGAATTCAGGGTAGGGATGTATATAGGGTTCATCCACTATATTCTCAGAACAATCTTGTAAGGTAGATTGATTGAGAAAATGAGTCTGGCTAAAAGTTAACCCATGGGAACCCCCCCCCAAAAAAAACATTTTAACTTGAGTCTGATACTCTGTTCATTGTACTACACTTGCTCTGAAAAAAATGTTTTAATGAAATCAAACAGATTACGAGAGAGGGACTGACTTGATGGCTAGATTCTAAACACAGGACAATGGAACAATTTTAAACTAATAGCTTGATCATAGAGCACAGGGGCCTAACGTCCTCTGGATATTATTATCATATTCAGAAGAAAACAATGCGACCGGCTTTCTCATTATGATTCAGCAGTACTTCCACTGAGTCATCACAATGCCCAAAATGGTTATGTAAAGAGAAGCAGACATTAAGATCAGTTCCAGAAGGCTGTTATTATTAGGTCCAACTCTGGAATTTTATGATTCAAGACTTGTGGTGTTTATGTCCTCAGCATGTCTACATGAGCACTTTGGATTTTTCCCCTTCTTGATCCATTTGTTTGTTTCTACAGTGGTGCCTCGCAAGACAAATGCCTCGCAGAACAAAAAACTCGCAAGACAAATGGTTTTGGCAATGGGGTTGATGACTCGCAAGACAAATGTTCCTATGGCCATGCTTCACAAGAAGAATGTTTTCCATTTTTTGTTCCTGCCTCATGTTTGCTGATTTTTAAATGTTTTTCTATGATGTTTAAAAAGTTAAAGTTTTTTAATTGAAATTTGCACAATATGTATGGCTTTAAAGAGCACTTAATAAGCCCTTTGTAAACCAAATTTGACTTTGTTCTGACTTTTTTTGGCCATAGGAACGCATTAATTAGATTTCAATGCATTCCAATGGGAAAATGTGTTTCGCAAGATGAATTTTTCGCAAGACAACATTAACTGCGGAACGAATTAAATTCATCTTGCAAGGCACCACTGTATTTAAGCCAACAAAATTGGCAACAAAATTCTTAAATAGCTCAATGTCTAGATAATATTCAAGCAATTAACCAGGTTAAAACATGTTTGAAAATCTAAGCAATCACAGTGACAATTTCCATCACTATATTTAACTCAACTCTTCTGGCTCATGGGCCCTGTACTACTCTCTATTATCTGCGGAACCTGATGTTGGGAGTTCAATTCCCCACTGTGTCTCCTTGAGAGAGGCTGGTCTAAATGATTCATAGAGTCCCTTCCAGCTCTGTAGTTCAAAGGTGATGATGACGATGATCCCAGATCATGGGCTATGGCTGAGGATGATGTTAACTGCAGTTCAAATCTTGGTGATGCCACCCTATGGAAGACCACATGTACTATTCACATGGAAATATTTCTTCCCTCTCTATTTGAAAAAAGAACTGTAAGTATTAGCAACGTACTGTTATGAACGTCAATAAAGAATGTATCTGAGCATCTGAGAATGGAAACCAACAAGCCAATACTGCTTCTGTAAATTCCTCGATTTGTATCCTAACGAGGTCTTCCAGTATCATCCAATTTGGAAATTCTCCCTTCTGAATTTTTTGAGAGCCAGTGACATTCAATATATGCAATACTGAATGATACGAATACCTATATAAGGCTCTGTGTTTTAGACATGGAACTATCACAGAGTATTGGCAGTGGATGCCCAAGTGGAAAAGCATCCACTGGCAATATTTGGAATGAGTTTCTTCAATTCTGAATGCGACTATTAGGAGTAGAGTTCAAAAGCCACTGCTAACCCTAAGAAGTAACTAGTCTAAATCTCAACTGTCAGTTGCAGTTGGGTCTCCTAAAAATCAATGTGAAAAGATATTTATATCTAAATTAAGTCTTAATTGTTCAATGGGAAAACGTATGACTAGCTTAGTCTGGATCCAACCTGTTGATCTCTAACATGTTAAATGCATATAGTAAGCCGCCTAGAGTGGTCGAAATGACTAGATAGGCGGGGTATAAATGCGATTAATAATAATAATGATAATAATGATAATGATAATAATGATAATGATAATAATAATGATAATAATAATAATAATGATGATGATGATGATGATGATGATAATAATA